TTAAATGAAGTATTAAATGAGTAACATAGTTCTGACATGTTACAACTATGTCTGCCAAAAGGATAAACCTGGTCTGATCCAGTCAACTGGCACGTGTAAAGGATTCAGTGTAAACACTCAGGGGATGAATGACTGGCTGGCTGGCTAACTCCAAGTGATACAGCTGTATTACCGAGTCCTAAATCTGGTCTAATCTGCTGCGTATCTGCCTGAGCACATGACCAAGTGACTGACAGGCTGCTGGGTTTAGTCACATAACTGCTCAAGTCCAAGGATGATTCTTAGATGGCATTTTAAATACAAGGGGAGGATTTTTCACCCCTAAAGTAATAACACTGTTAAAAATGTGCTTTTCTTTGTATTACTTATTATAATTTTATATATATATATAAATAAATATATAATTTTCATGTCTTCTTCCATGTTTTTCAAATCAACTCATGCTTCTGTAAAGGTCTGTCTATCGTCTTTGTCAGGGTTACAGACGGTCTGTGCCACTGAATGTATAGAAAAATGGGCACATCTCCACCTAAGCATCCCAAATAAAAAACGCTGCCATCTTACTCATTTCAATTCAGAAACTGCACAGTTCAGACCTGGGAGGAGCTGCAAACCTGAGGTCCGACCGACACAAACACACACACACTTGACCAATAATGAGACTGTTTCAGTTGTCAATCATGATGTTTCAAGTCATTTCCATAATATCAACAAACTAATTAAAACCAAACTTGGCAGAAAAATGAACTTGAACATACATCAGTATGATAAGAACTTCCTAAAATGACAAAATACATCTTTGAGAAAACTGCATTTGATTTGTACTCTTAACGCTTAAATGGAGGAGGCAGGTTTATGACCTATACTGACGGTAGAGATCAAGGTGCTTCGGCTTCACTTAAGGGTTGCACTCATATCGTCCATCTTTATATACAAGCTACGGTCCATACCATAAAAGAACTGTAGTTTTGTCTTGTTATCGTGGAATGTAAACAAACTTCAGCTGCTCTTGACATATTGCTGCTGTAGCAGTGATGATAAACACAAAGAACTATAAATGGACTGTAAACGTCTCCTTTACAAACACTTTTTTAAATACCACGTATTCACAACATCTCTAATCATATTTCCATCTTTACAAAGCTACAGAGGAAGGAAGGAGTACACAACCGTAGATGACACAGCACTGACTTCTCATTTGACTGTCAGAGAAACTAGTTGTCTGGTCTGATCTGACCTTCCTCTGATGATGGCTGCTGCTTAAATAAGAACATACTTCATTACTTTCTCTCTAAGAGCCCTTCAGATATCCACCCCACCAGCTGTGCTCATGTCAATTAGTTCATCCGTCCTTCACAGTAGCCAGAGTCAAAGCAACGGCCACAGCAGGAGGTCATGATATCAGATGGCTACAGTTCAAAACTTCTAATCACAGGGTTACAGGTCTTAATCCTCCAAATAATTTTTCACTGTACTATCCCTTAAAGCTATTTCAGAGAAACGAAAGTAGCCGTGATGTGAAAAACCAGATTGTGCTGTCAGTCACTCAGAATGACAGAGTGAGGGGTCTTTGTTGTCGCTCACAGTCTCACAGCAGAGCTATACTGCGCTCTGTTGTACAGAATAACATCCATTATAGAGCAATCTGCTGGATCACTGAGCCGACTGATTGGTTCATCGATCACAGGACGCAAAGAATCCCACCTGTTATTCTCCAGTGCGCCCTTACCTCTCAAGATGGAGGTGAAAAGTTTGAACTGCTGGGGCACCAAAGCCGCCAAAAAGGCAGTGTCATGTGCACTTTACAATAAAATAGTATATGGTTCCCTTTTCCAGAGGAGGATTCCTTTTAGCACGCTCTCCTTCTCAATGCAGCACAGTGACAAACTTACAGCAACTGTTTCAAAATTATACTTGTGCAGAGTGAAACTGTTGGTTGGTTAGACCAAATTCAAGCTGCAGAGTCACATGACAATAATCATACTGCAAGAGGAACTTTTGAGGTATTGGTTAGGCAAAACACGTTAGTGTGTAAGCATGACTAGTGTCTAGAGTCTAGTTTTACTTTAAATGCAGTGTATTTATTTGTATGCACTTGCCATGTGTTCCGATGTATAAACTCTGAACATAAATCCTGAGCTTGTTTTTTGTGACTTTTAAATTCACAACAATTTGACAGTGAAATATACACAGAAACAGAGGCTTAACCAAACTGCATGTTGGCCTCAAAAGCCTGATACCAACTTTAATAAAATAACTACTTCAGTGTGCATTGCGTTTCACATCTTAAAAAAAGTCTTTATCGGAAACAACAACTGTACTTAGATTGACTGCAGATCAGGCGGCACTGAGTTGCATACAGTGACCATTGTGAATCATTCACCACTAACAATTATTCAAAGCCAGTGAACAGAGTCGTTCAACAGAGTAAATAAAGTTAATCATTTCAAAGAAGTACCAACACAGCCCTTTTCTGAGCCATGAAATCCTCAGTGATAAATCAATAACAATCATCGATCCTCTCTTTAATCCAGTTCAAAACACTGGTGGATCAGGTGGATCATAAAGGCCAATAAATGTATGTTGGTGTCTGCATGTTGGTCAAGCCACGTGTGTGTCCATTTATCCCTGAAGAGAGGAAAGGATGACGCCACTGATGTCATTATAAATAGCTTATGCTGTGACCTCACACACACACACACACACACTGCATACCACACAGCGGGTAAGTGTGTGGCTGTCTCAGCTTGTTCAACCTGTTCTACAGTGAAACTACAGACAATGAAAGAGCACAATGACAGATGCTACAGCACAATCATACGATGAGCCTGCTTCAGAATTCAGATCTATAAAATTAAATAGCAGTTTGATTTCCCAGGCAGGGATGAAGTCAAGTCAGGACTAAGCTAAGTCTTGTCCACTCCTCAATGGACACATACAGTGTCGCAGGACAGGGATGAAAATTCTTTCGGATTCTCAAACTCATGATAAATACTGCCAAGCCATCAACCAGACACTGGTGCAACTGGCAATGTAGGTGTTATGCATCAATGAAAACGTGGTGGAAGGCAGTGACAGATTTCAGCCAGTCTACGAGGACAAAGTTTAAAGTGAGGTTGATATTTTTGGTTTTGCAGAACACGCAGAAAGAAAATTGCCGTGACATAGGCCGGGGCGACGATTTGAATGCAAAGCAAGTTCACTTTTAGCTCAGTGCATGATGTGGGGACTTTGGAATGGGGGAAAATAACTTGTCAATAATGTAAACTGAAGCTTTCAGTGTTATTTCTTCCTTTAAAGGCACAACACAGAGCATGTTGTTGTGCTGTTGTTTACCAGTTTCGCACATTAAACACAAGCTGTAGTTAAGTCATAAACCAACAGTATTTTTTCAATTAAAATACGACAGTCTATTTGGTTGTAAAAATGTTCCTGCAGGATAAACACTATTATTCAAGACTCCTCTGTATTCATGTCAGATGTTGGCCGTCTGTGCATGGGGATAAAGCTTATATCCCTGTGTGTCAGTACAGTGTGTGTGTGTGTGTGTGTGTGTATAATTTTAGCACATTTCAGCAGAATTTAACTATATTTCTAATCCATTATCATTTTGAACATCATAATCATGATGTAAACCATTTCATTTAAAGTCCAGAATTATGTATCTCTCTGGAAAATGACCTGGAAAACTATTTTTTATATTTAACACACAATTATGGAACTAATTTCTTAGTTGGTGGCAGCTCCTCTGTAGCTTTTCTCCATTTGTTATGCTTTGATTTGACTTTATTTAGTGCACAACTGTTTTTCCTTCTTTGTCTTCAAGTCATTCGTGAAATTAAGATGATAGGTCTGGAAACAAGGTAGACAAATATCAAATAGTAAAATGTATGTGATTGTTTGTGGCGAGGATCTTTGTCTCCAAAAACTGTGAAAATGTCCCTAACAGACAACACAAAATGTTTGCGTGTACTTGTATTTATTAGGACATGCATCCTCACCTTTAAGGTTATTAAAGTACAGTGGAAACAAAACAAAAGCCAGGCTACAGGAATTGAAAGTTTCTGTTCATGGAGACTTGGTTGAGATGGGCCATGTTTGTTGTATTTCATTAATAGGGTTTGTACTTGGATGTCATATGACTCATGTGTTGCTTGTTAATTGGGAAGGGATTTGGAACACTGTGCTCAAGTAGGATAGATGTTTTGGCGGAGGTGCAACATAAATCCAGAACGGATCCAGACTATATTTCCTCTGCTCTTGTTCAGCTTTTCTAGCTTGAGGAACAGCATCTGTGTCTTTCTACTCATGGTCCCTTGAGTTTTAGAAACATTTCCTGTGCTCAACTGGGATTACTACTTTCCCCAGTAGTGTTGGATATGTCGAGAGAAAGCAACAGTTTGAAACTTCCCTTTAAACATGCATAGTGAGAACACACAAACTGAAACTGTTCAGGTCTTACCAGGGTTCACACACACCAGGGTGTAATCACGTAAAAGAACATGAATGTGCTTGTGACAGCCTTGGTAGTTGACAGGTGGTTGTCGTGAAGTCTTTGAGAATATCATAAGACGTTTTCAGACATGAACTCAGTAAAAATGACCACACAATGGTGTCTGGACCTTTTTCAGATTGTGACATTCGAGATGAATGCAGCAGGAGATTCACTGGTTAGACGAGTTCACGACAAGACAGAAATCTCAGGAGCGTTAAGGTTAAAGGGTGAACCAGCATTCAGGAGGCAGGAAGTAATCTGCTGTACACAAGCAGCCCCTCAGGATAATTTCAAGAGATTATCCTGCATTCATTGCATGTCCGAAAGAAGCTATAAAGGATTTCCTAGAGAATTTTGATGTACTTGATTCTGACATTTCATTGAAAGACAAAAAACATATCTATGACACAACTGTGCGTAGATTTCCACCTGGTTCACCTGAAAGCCAATATTGTGGAGACACAACAGTATTCAAAGTCAGCACGTCATCACCCTCTTCTCTTACCTTGCCGGTCTTGTGGTCGAACCAAACAAGGGCATGATTCCTGGACAGCACCTTGCAGTCGAAGGTGGCATTGTTCTGGGCCGGACGACACCGAGCCACCGACCTGCCGATCTTGACGGGCTCCTCCAGGTACACATGCCGCTCCTGGAATGGATGCGAGTTGGGTCGGCAGGTGAACACGGCCAGCGCTGAAGGCATTGACTTTGGCTTGAGAGTATTACTCCAACCGGACACGAGGGACAAGTTTTCTTGATCCAGAGTGGCAGGCGTGTGTTGCAATCCCCAATTAATAATCTACAATATATGTGGCCTGTGTGTAGGCAGAGCTGTTAGTCCTTTAAGCTTTTAGGCACTAACTAATAAACATCGTCCCCTGTGCACAGTCCAGGCTGAACTGCACTGCTTTCAACTAAACTCTTGTGTGCTTGGGAAAAATGAAAATAAAAAACAAACCAACAGGTATAAAAGAGACAAGACATTCCCTTCACTCACTGTCCACCAAAGCTACATAACGACACTTAAATCCTGCAGCAGGCACTATGTACAGACCAGGGTGCCATGTGTCAAGACATACATGACTGAGTATAGCTCTGACAGTCTGGCAAACAGCCTTCCACGTCCATCAAACTCTTCCAGCACTGGGGCAGGAGAAGGAAGCCGGTGGGCCGCCACACAGACTCGAGCTTCAGTCCCTCCGGGGGCAGATGCAGCTTCCAACCGACCAATGACACTATCGATTAAAAGCCCAATCAGTGCAATAAACTATACCTGATGTCTGTCAGTAGCAGTAGAGCAGATTATTGCGCGCTTTCCAACTGTGTCGAGTCTCGTCTTGCAGCAAGCTAACAAGAAGCTCACACGCCCCGGTGAGCTCAGTAAAGTGTCATCTGTGGAAGTCTTCGTCGTTCACAGGCTGCCATGACCCGGCTGACAATGCTGCCCTGATACAGGGGATCTTAGCTAGCTACCCAGCGTTACCACTCCCTCCTGAGAACACCTAGAAGATGGCTAACGCGCACCTAGCAGGGACTTCAACAGTCAAAACAACCACGAGTTTCAAACACCACGACTGGAAACACTGGCTGAACCCCGGCCCGGGGATTAGCGGGTCTTCCTGTGCCACTTAAAAATGCTAATTGGCTAGCCCGCTAGTGGACGGGCGAAGCGCTAGCCGTCGGCCAACAGATATCTGGCGTTGTACCAGGCGAGCTAGGCTATGCTAGGCTAATGAGTGCTGACAAACTTATCGCCCAGGTCCTCGAATGGTTTCTCCCTCTCCCGTGTCGACCGGTTCGCTTGCCGACCGGATGCGCAATGCCATCCCTGTCTCCCGGAGCGGGTGAAACGCTCACGCTAGCCCCGTGGGGGTTTTTTGGGGGGCTACTACGACCGTTAGCATGGAGCGGGTGAGTTAGCGTGCGGCTAGCCGGCTAACTGACAGTCGGGGGGGGGGGGGGGGGAGGCAGCAGACGCGGAAAAATCAGGGGAGTTTCTCGGCTGCGGCTCCAAACGCATCACAGCAGCCGCGACAATCATCCAGGGAGGGGGGGAGAAAGAGAGAAAGAAAAAAGCTTGGTACGGGCCCCACGTCGAGCCGTCGTCGTCGTCTATCTCCCGGTCGTGTGTCACCGAGGCGGTTCGGGAATTCAACCCGTCGCCTTGCTACAGTTTTCTGGGGAGAAGTTGTCCTCCTCCGCAAGTCCGGGCCGCCATACTGTAACTAGAGAGCAGACAGGCGTGGTGCGTTCACTGCCCCGCTCACTTCAACCCACTGCTTACATCACTACACATTACAGCTGTGGTGTATTGTGTTGTTGTGATGGTTATGAAAGTGGTAAATAAAATTTAAAAAAGTATTGTTATGTTGGGCCCCTACTGTTTTTATCCTTGTTAAGAGTTTGAGGTTCTATTGTTTTCATTTCATTGTATATACATTTAGTTTTTAGTTTCTAGTGTTTGATTTCATCGTTGCTTACCTCAGTATTAAGTTTCGTTGCTTCTCGTGTTCCTCATGTTTTCCAGTGTCAATAAAAATTGCTGAATATTGAACTTGCAAAAAAAAAATAAAAAAAATGAGGGTTAATAGTTGATGTAATGTCAGCATCCTCAGGGTTTTGACCTTGGTCAGGAAAAAAAAAACGCTGATGTGAATGTTTGTCCTTCAGGGAATAATGAGGAAATGTTCTCACTATTTCCTGAACTGTTATATCCTAAACAATCAATACATGATTAAAGAAAACAAAGTAAAACCTCACCTGTGAATCAACGCAAACATCTATGATGATCTGTTGCTGTCCTCCACCTACAAAGTGGAATTAAGCATAATCTCCTCATCTTCCTGCATTGCTACCTAGTGGCATCCGATTATATCAGCTAAAATAAACTATTATTATTGGATCATTCTAAATAACAAATGAATAAATAACATTATTTTCTTTAAAATCAAATAATAGTAATCAGTCTGAAATAATTAATGAGTGAAAATGTAAAAAAAAAATCTTGGATCTACCCCCTGATCTGGATGCACATTAAAATTGTATGGGTTCTTCCACCTCCCATTCTCCATCCTTCCACCAAATGAATCTTGCTTACAAACACACAAACAAACCAACAAACAATCTCCTTGGCAGAGGTATGAGAGGAATTATCAATAATTCAAACAGTCGTATGATGACGTTTTTTTAAATTCATTACTTGACACACTGCAATTAATAAAACAAATGTTACAGCAAACAAAAACAATATGACATCTCTACAAGATGGAGTTGGATGGATGTTGTCGATGTTGTAGTCTATTGGTGCAAATGTCCATTGAATATTCAATGAATCAAATAATGTCGACTGAAATGATTCAGCGGGAACACCTGAGGGTGCGCCCTGATGAAATTAGGGCAGTGGCTAATCTAAGCCTTCTCAAATACAGATAAATACAAATAATATATGGAAGTCAAAAAATATCATGCAACAGAGGTTAAAAATACAGCTGATTTTGGTCTACATTGTTAAATGTTCAAAATAACCTGTAAAGAATGACCAAATAATAAGAAGTATTATAATATTGTAGGGAAATGACTGTGTCTTTTTTCAAAATAAACTAAAAGTGAAGGATACAATCAGAAATAAATATGAATAATTTATGTGTAGATCTCACAGTGGAAATTTCACTATAACACGGTTCTAAATCAAAACCTTTCATTTTCTTTAACTGTACACTGAAGCCATGAGTATAACTCACAGTGCATTGAGCTCAGAATGAAAGATCAGTTCACAAGGTTTTTTTTGCAGATGACTTGGTTTATGGACTGGGACAGCAGGGTGGGGTGGGGCTGTGGGTTAGGAGATCAAATTCTGCTTATGACTCCAGAAAAAGCCCCCCCCCCCCCATGTTCCAATGGACTGACAGCCGAGACCAAATCAATGCTGCACCAGACAATAGAATAATAAAGTAGGGGAGGAAAAAAACTGTGCTGCACCTCATTTTATTTAATTCAGTCATCACATTATATGAAATACGACGGAAATCATTTACGTTTATACATTTATGTTTATTATTTTGTTCATCTGTTCAACATTTTTGCCAATTTGGCTGCTTATATGTTGTAAGATTGTGAAGCGATAACGTTGAAATAATAATAATTATAACTTTAAGGAGCTTACCAGTCTAAATTAGCCGAAGACAGGATACAAAGTTGTTCTAGAGTTTAGCTCTTTATTCATTGATTGATGGTTACATTTGGAACTAGAATGGAACTCAGTAGAATATACCCACAAAAGTCCTCTTATGACAACATATTTAAATTGACTAGATCTATGTGCATCTGCATCAAATTGCACTCACATACATATCAGTCCACTATATAATATATAATATGTAAATAATACCCTAACCATATGCCTGATGTTTTTGTGTAATCTTGTTCACAAGCAAGCAGGTGACAACATAACCTCTTGGTGTTGGCAACAATCACAGCAACAATGCAGGAACAAGAAGCCTGAAGGTTGATCCAGGCTTCACCTCAGGATCAAACTGATTATCAGCCTGATCCAAATATACCAGAGTGAAGGACAAGACAAGGACTGAGGGACTAACACAGACTCTCAATCAATCACACCAGGCCTGTGTAGACTGTAGTTATATGTTTTCTATCAGGATCACAAAGTCTCACAGTTTTACTGTATCATGGTTCAGGTCCAGGTCCATGCAGGTGGACATATTCATGGTATAGTTCCTGGGCCAATGCAGCCCTGCTCAGCCCTTCCACAGATCCCACCAGGTACCAGCTGTCACTGTGCTAACAAGCTGACTATTATTTAAGATTTAACAGCATACTGTGTTTAGCTTCTTAGTCCAGTTTGACCCACTTAACACTTTTCAGTAATTCTATAAGATGCTGCAGTTTATGTTACTTAACATTTCACCTTTAATACAATTCGTACACTTGTTTTCGAGTGTATTATCACTATTATATGTTTGGAATTAGTTTAGTAGTAGTTATTATAATATTAAGTATTATTTTACTGAAATACAGTTTTATTAATTTTCTATATATTAGTTGGATTTACCCAAATAGATGTGATGGATTTCTACACTCAGGGTGTGTGAGCATTGTCTCTTCTCTATCTGCTTACTTATAATAAGGTGGATTTGTGTCACAACTTGGACAAACAGCGGGTGAACCCCTGCTGTCTGTGAGCACCCCCACTCTGTTTCATCCATCTGCTCGCTCAGTAATGGACATATTAATGGATTTGGATAAAGCTGGTTTACTGCCTTGTTCCTCACTCAGACGGAGAGCTGGGCTGTAATTTAAAAAAGTAATTCATTTAGTGAGCAAGTTCTACTCGGAGTTGATGATGTGAGAGAGGAGAACAGATCCAGCAGAGTGGACTCGAGTTGCTTCCAGAAACAGGTGCAAATAACAGATAACTTTTAAATTGGGGATGATTCAAGATTTCAACTTTTAAACCTCACTTAAAAAATGCAGCAAATGTGTCAAAAACCATCATAATAATGACAGTAAAAGTAAATATGAGACTTAATAGTTCGTAATAATGGTAATAAAAGTAAACATGTGACTTGATGTGATATTAAAAGTGAATATATGATTTAATATATCACAATAATGACAGTAAAAGTAAATATATGGTTTATTATGTCATCATTTGTACAACCAGTGTTAATTCATCACTTTCTGTCTCTGGCGTCACATAAACACGACGTTGCCAAGGACGACCTTACGTGATGACGTTATTCGTTCATCACCATGACGTCAGTACGTAGTCACGCTCCTGCTGCTATGCTAACCTGAGGCTAACTCGTAGCCGAGCGGCTGCAGCTTGTGTCCGCTTCTTGTGTCGTTTTCCCGCGGGGACACGAACCAGAAATACCGGTAAACTTGTTCGCTGAGCCCGGAGCGTCTGCGCGTCCGTGTCGGGCCACCGCCATGGCTCTGCAAGGCCCGGAGGAGCTGGGGGAGCAGGTCGAGGAGCCGGAGGATTTGGACGACCAGGACGCTAGTAGCATCTCCCCGGCCGAGGAGATAACGCTGCCCCCGGGGCCCGGAGGTGACGAGGGGCCGGGGCAGACTCTCCTCCTGCCGTGGGACCGCTTCTCCACCTGGCTGCACTGCATCTGTGTGGTGGGCTTCGACCTGGAGCTGGGACAGGCGGTGGAGGTGAGGCGGGGGTAGCCGGGGACAGTCGGGGGTAGCCGGGGACAGTCGGAGACAGTCGGGGCGGTCCACACTGAGGATAACATGTCCCAAGTTAGCGGTGATCCACGGCTCAGACTATGTCCTGGACGGGACACACAGACCTCTCGTGCAGATGTGTGTGGGTGTTTTAGTGTTTGTCTTAAAACATAGACGGAGACACACGAATGCGACAACAACAAAAAACAATTTAACATTTACCTGACTGTGTGTGTGTGTGTGTGTGTGTGTGTGTGTGTGTGTGTGTGTGTGTGTTTGTTTGTGTTTGTGTTTCCCTGGAGTTGTTCTGTTAACAGCATCACCTGAACTACAACTTTACATGAAGACATTTGACCCAAACTCTTCTGCACACACACACACACACACACACACACACACACAC